AGAGAGTTCTAGAGATTGATTACACAACAATGTGAATGCACTTAGTTAACACTACTGGACTGTGCACTTGAAAAAACTAGTTAAGATGGTAGTATTTAGGGGCACTCGGATGGCTCAGTCAGTTGAGTGTCTTGATTTCGGGTCAGGTCATGACCTCAGGGTTGTGGGATCGAGCCCCGTGTCGGGCTCTGCGCTCAGTGAGGAGTCTGCTTAAGATTCTCTCCCACTCCCTCTGCCCCGCCCCCCACAAAATAAACAAATAAAATCTTTAAAAAAAAAAGATGGTAATATTTAATGTTATATCTACTTTACCACAATTACTTTTTTTTAAATTTAGAGAGAGAGAGACAGGAGAGCGCGAATGAGTGAAGGAATGCGTGCAAGAAGACTCTAGAAGAAATACATCGAAGTCTAAATAAAGAGTTTTGGGCAGTGAAGGACCTACCTACGTGCTGTCTGTGAAGGGACAATTAGCATCTCTGCTATAACGGTCCACAACACACTAAAAAGCAGAAAGCCCAAACCGACTGAGGAAAAAGAAAAGTGATATCGTGAGACCAGTCTATCCGAATCTAGTATTTACAGGGCTTGCCTGATACTTTGTAGGCAAAAGAACTGCCTCCTGTCATATTCCCAGCCCTCGAAACTAGAGTGTGAAGGCAATCGCTTTGGACTTGTGACATCTACCACCAGACTGTGTCTACCCAGAAATAAAACACTCAAAGCACGTGTACTAGTGGGGGAATTCCCCCCCCCCAAAATACCTGAAATTCTATTGTCTTAATTCTGTGTATTCATCACCAGGAAACAGCAGAAAAACAAATGTGACCCATACCATACTAACACAGACCCCTTGGGTGAAGGAAGCCAATCACTGAAGTTTGGAAAGAAGAAATCAGAGCAGGCTGGACAGAGAGAAGCAAGTCAGAAGGTACCAAGTTTCACAAACTATCGCTCACAATTTGAGAAGCACCACTAAAGAGCTCAGCGGAACGTTCGGCCTTCCTGGGGACATTCTTGATACTTTTATAACCTCCCCCCTGCAAAAGAAAAAAACAGGGCACGATGACATTTCAAAGGGATCTCAGTGGCCACCTGGCCCCAACTGAGATGTGGTGGGGGCTGGCACAAAATCTGGACACAGGAGTTTGTGCAAAACACAGCCTGAATGTCTTTTAACTTGGCCAAGTCTCAACTCCATGCCATCAAGTGGGGGCAATGACACGAGACAGCGCACGTAAAAAGGACGCTCAGGGACCTGCAAGAACCCGGGTGGTGATCCTGATGACAAGGACCCTGCGGTTCAGGGAACTGAAGAGACGGGCTTGGTGCCAACACTTCCCCTACAGCCTGTGCACTCCCCCAGTTGGGCTCCCCATTCCTGTAATGGATGAGGTGGCCATGCCTTTCTCTTCCTCTTTTCTGTCCAGATGCTTTGAGATGGTCTCATTGTGAATGTTCCTCAGTCCCAAGTAGCAACGAACAGTTTATAAAAATCAACAGGCTGCAAGAAGCAGCTTCACAAGATGCCACCTACTCTAAAGAAAGCCAAAATAAAAAGAGAGAACTCGGGGCACCTGGTTGGCTCAGCGGGTTAAGCATCTGACTCTTGGTTTTGGCTCAGGTCATGATTTCAGGGATCGAGCCTACGTCGGGTTCCATGCTCAGTGTGGAGTCTGCTTAGGATTCTCTCCTTCTTCCTCTCCCTCTGCCCTTTGCCTTGCTTGCACACCTGTGTGCATGCTCGCTCGCTCTCACTCCCTCTCTCTCTCTCAAATAAATAAAATCTTAAAGGAAAAAATAAAAAGGGATAACTGCACAAAATCCTGCACAGATCCAAACTGGCAAGAATAGCTGCCCACAGTGATCTGCCAGGGTCTGGTGGAAACATACCAGCAGGACTGGCCACTTCTTGAGAAGGCATTACTGAAACATTCAGACAAAAATGATCCAGGACCACAAAAGCCACAGCAGAGAGCAAGGCAAGATCACCCTGAGGGCAAACCATGGACCATGGTAAGAAATGGGAGTCACTTTGTTACTTTAGCCAAGTAGGAAAACTATAGAGACTCATCCAAATGGATCACCCTATGAAGAGTTCTTGGGTGCCTGTCACCGCCAAGGCCCTGGAGGTGCTGGGGGTTGAAAGGGCTGTGAGAACCTGCTGTGAGAACCGGACAGAGGCAGGCGGCTGTCCTGGAGTAAGAGCCACCGCGTTTCCAAATGGTCCACCAAGCACACAATGAAGTTTAGGATCTCCTCCTGGGACACATGTGTGAACCGCTGCTGGCCTGTGGCAGGGTTTCTTAACCTCGGCACTATTGGCATCTGGGGCTGAAGAATTCCTTGTCACAGGGGCTTGTCCTGTGCATCATAGGATGTTCGGCAGCCTCCCTGGCCTCTACCCCCTAGAAGCCAGTAGCTAAGCCCTCCCCTGTTGTAACAACTACAGATGTCTCCAGACACCGCCAAGCATCCACTGGACCAATCTGCTCTCAGGTGAGGACCACTGGCCTGGCGGTCAGCTACCCCACTAAGCTGGCCCCAATCTTCTCCCACGCGCCGAACCCCAAATCTCCCCCTCCACATCTCCATCCGGCAATGTCACCTCCTCCTTTCTGAAACCAAAACCATTCTGCGTAAGCTCACTCACCCTCTGTTATTTCCACCTGCATCTGTAACTTCTTCCTCGGAAAGTGGCACCCTACTGCCCTCTTTTCCTCTGGAACCTACCCTCCCTCCATTACCCCTTGTACCCTTTGTCTCCACTTGCCCCTCCCTTCCAAGGGCTAGTAACTTCTTATCTCGTCCATTATCAAACAGCAACTGGTGTTCAGCCCCTCCTCAGCATCCACAGCTCCGCCATGCACTAGGCAAGCCGCCCCCCCGCCCCCAAGCTGACACGGCGTGCCTGGCCTTGACCCCATCACATCCCTGTCTCCAAGGACCAAACACAGTCCTCTCACAGGGATGTCACCAGAGGCCTCCCAGTCAGCCGGCCGTTCGGGGCAGAGGGCCCTTGGTAGCACTACAGCCTAACCTCCCCTCCTCCGCGTGCTCCAAAGAGTAGCTCGCCTGTGTTTTCCCGATGACATAAATTCCATGACTTCTGACATTACCCCTTTAAAACCCTTTCTAATTTTAACCTCAAAACACCCGTCTACCCTGATTTTCCTCGTCCCACTCTCCTTTCTATATATCCTATGAGCTCTCTGTCCAGCCTTGGCCCCATAATTATGGGCAGTCCTAGAATGTTAGCCCTCTCTCTTCTCTCTTCCTATTCCTTTCCTAGAAGAATTTATGGAACGATGGAAAATCCGGCTTTTCCCAATTCTGCACCTGCAGCTGACTTTGGTAGACTCTGGAACGTACCTCTGGCTGTGTCCTGACATGATCCTCAGCTGTCACCCCACCAATCCTGTAAACGAACGGTCAGGCTTTCTGCCTCTGCTTCCCCGGTGGTCCCCCTGGGTACTTCCACACTGCCCTGGGGTTCTCTCGTCTCTCTTGAGTTCTCTAGGGCTGCCATAACAAAGTACCACAGACGAGCGGCTTCAACAACAGAAATTTCTTGTCTCACAGTTCTGGAGGCTAGAAGTCCAAGGTCAATGTTGGTTTCGTCTAAGGGCTCTAAGCGAGAGTCTGTTCCGTGCCTCTCCCTGAGTTTCTGGGTTTCATGACAATCTTTGGTACTCCTTGGCTTTTATATGCATCACCCCATCTATGCCTTCATATTTACCTGGCCTTCTCCCGCTGTGTGCTCACCTGTGTCCACATTTCCCCTTTTCATATTAACTTAGGAGCCCACCCTACTGCAGTATGACCTAATTACACCTACAATGACCTTATTTCCAAATCAGGACATATTCTAAGGCACTAGGTGTTAGGACATTAACATATGAATTTGGGGGGGGAGGGGGACGACAACTCAACCCGTAACAGTGTCCGTGGCTGTCTCTCTTTCCGTGTGGTGCACTCACTCACTGCAACACGAGACACCTGCTGTCTTTTCTTTCCCTAAATCTCTTATCACCTCCTGCAGTGCTTGGAACTTGGCTGGCACCTATCAAACGTTTGCTGAGGGAATAAAAGTTGACAACGAAACTCAGTATTCCTCACAAAAACAAAGATGAAAAAAAAAATCACTCATCCTTTGGTGATCACCTGCAAAATTCTCAAGTTCAAAATTCGCAAATATCCAACACCTTTCTCTCCCACACTCCTGTCTACTGTCACCCACTGCTGCCAAGCCTTTCTTTCTAAGGTCTCTTGTGTTTCTGCTCGACTGGATCAACTGATATGCAAGTGTTCCTACTGGCGCCCTAACAAATCTCCTGCAGGACTCCAGGAGGCCCTGCCTAACACCTTAGCACCTTCCCCAAGCACAGCACAGCATCTCCATTTGCTCTGCCCTGGCTCTGCAAACTGCTCCTGAGGAAAGCCCAGGAGGCGCCCATGGTGCTGCCAACAGTGGGGGTGGGTGTCTAGGTGAGGTCCTGGCCCAATGTCAACAAGGCGTGCGATTTTTCTTGCATCTTCTGTATTGAGTTTCCACATAATTTCTCATTTGAAGAGTTTGGTGATTACAAAAGTGTGGGAAAACCAGTAGCTAATAGGGCAGAGTCAAAGCCAATAGGTTCTCTGCCCCTCAGAAGTCTTTATATTCTCCCTGCTCCCCAATATGCCACCTGACCAGGTCTCCAGACTACACACAGACCCCATATCCTTCCGAGGCCCGTTCAAGCCAATTCTGTTCCCCTCTGCCTGAAATACCCTCTTCCGCTGTTCTCTTGGCCTGTTCAGCTCCCATCCATCCTTTATTGCTCAAATCAAATCCCAGATCCCAGGGAGAATGTTCCTGATCACTCCCACCCTGGGACCTCTCCCCTACTCTGAGTTGGTTTAGTAATTACTACCTGTACAGCCAACTGGGAACTGATCATACTCTGTGATGTTTTCTGATCTGATGTCTTCTTACACCTTTAATTCACTTTCCATAGGTCTGTGTCTTGACTCCCAAAGAGCAGAAACCCTATGTGGGCAGAGACTAAAGGTGACTTCCCTCCTAGAATGTGGCCAAGTTTGTCACACACAGATGGGTGCCATTACTCTACTAAGTGATTTTATACAACAGCAGAAACACTACCTGCATATCATAAACAGAATTACTTCAAACACTAAGGATTAAAAAAAAAAAAAATCTCTTACAGACATAATTCTCTTACCAAGGAATTAGCCTGTATAGTAACATTTCTTCTCTGTCACCATCTCCGATAAAAACTTAAAAATCTTTAAAAATGGAAACGAAATGATAAATCTCCTCAATGATGGTAAGTAATAGGTTAGGTAATTTAGATTACTCTTTTCTGTGATTTCTTGATTACTTAGGAATATATAAATAACTAGATAAGTACATGTATATTTCTGGTAATATGGAATGCACGTCCGGGTCCACTGAAGAAATGCTGCTCAAAACCCCAGCTATGAATTTAGATGCATACGGCTCATGATACATTTTATGAACAGATGCAAAGGTGTTTATCATTATCTCCGCGCTACACAGTTTCTAATTTTACATATGAAAACCAAGGCATCCTTCAGCATAAAGTACATTATTTGCATGATATATTTGCATTTGTAAAACACCCACATTTACTTTTACTGCTTAATGGGCCTGGTTAAAATGGGCCACTCTATATAAATGGAGCGCACTGGATCCCAACTCAATGGTGCTGATAAGAAAACGACTCCTTTTAGATGCAAATGAACCTACTAATCACAATTAAAATGGTGGCGTTGAGGGAAGCTGAGCAGCTGTTCTAAGAGCTGCAAGTCTAGGGCCAGTCTGGTTCTAGCTTAATCTTTGGAGCTGCCTGGGACTCCCCAGGGGACATCTGCCTGGGGTGGGGGGCGGGCAATGGGATAAACTGAACTTTCTAAAGGTGGATGGGGGAGAGCCCATAGCCCCAGATCTGGGCCGACTACGCAGCTGTGGTCCAACCAGCCTACCTGTGGTATTAACCCAAACCTGTCCATAGGGCCAGATTTTAACCAATCCGGTTCAAAGGACACAAGCTGAGCAGAAGGGAGGAGGGCTGCATTTGCAAAACTCATGGAGGAAAGGCAAGCCACACATGGGAAGAGTTAAATGACTGAAACCTCCCGTTAAATGGTGCAGTCACCATGGAAAACAGTATGGTGGTTCCTCAAAAAAAAAAAAAAAAAAAAAAAAATCACACACAGAATTACCATATGATCCGGCAGTTCCTCTTCCGGATATACACAAAAAAGAACTGAAAGCAAGAACGCACAGAGATAACTAACTGTACGCCCTGGTTTAGAGCGGCACTGTTGACAAGAGGCAAACGGTGGAAGCAGCCCAAGTGTCTATCGCTGGATGAACAGAACGAGAATTCGGTGTGTACACACAGTGGTCTGCAGCCTTAGAAGAAGAAGGAAAATCTGTCACAGGCTGTAACATGGCTGAACCGGGAGCCCATCAACCTGTGAAATACACCAGTCACAATAAGACAAAGACTGTATGAGTCCACCTGTATGAGCTGCCTACAGTAGCCAAACTTATAAAAGAAAGTAGAATGGTGGTTGCCAGGGGTTGGGGGGAGGGCTGAGGAGCTGCTGCTTCATGGGGACAGTTTCAGTTTGGGAAGATGGAAAAGTTCTGGAAACGGATGGTGGTGCTGGTTGTGCAACAAATGAATGTACTTAACAGCAGCGAACTGTATCCTTAAAAATGATTGAGATGATAAATTTATGTTATATGTAGTTTACTACAACTTCAAAATAAATAATAGATAACTAGAGAGATAGACAGATAATAAAACAAGCAGACATTTCCTAATGGCCAGACACTGGGGGGCAGGTGGTGCTTCTCTGCTCCTCTGTCCTGAGGCTCTGAAAACGGAGTGGCTTTGCCCACCTTTTCTCACTTGTCCTCTCACTGAATAAACATACTTTTACACGTGCTATGAGGACATGGCAGTGAAGGAACCATCCCGTCCTCCAAGATGCAGGGACGCAGATGGGTAAATAGACCAAGGATTGTACAGAGAATGACACATAGCTCTGGACGCACAGCTCTGAGACCACTGCCCTTGGGTCCTTCAATTACTCTGCCATGAATGAAACTGACACTAGACCGTCTTGTTGGACAGGACAGAACCATCAACGATCTCCTCTCTTCCACAAGGACTAACCTGACTTGGTCCTCCTCTGTCTCTTCTTTGAAGTCTGACAGCCTTGGCCTCGACACATGGACTTCAGGACCAAATGTCTTGCCAGTTGTCCTCCAGCTGCCTCCCCAGGGACACTGCAGATCCTCCACAGGTGTCATCCACTGAGCCGATGCTCAGCACACAGCCTGGTACTAAGTGCTCCCTAAATGCCAACTACCATCAGAGCCCCAGGAACAGTCGCTTAACAGACTCATGGGTGCATTCCTGAGGAGTTGAAACCTGGAGGCAGTCCCATGGAATTTCCCCATCTCAGCATCGCTCCCCCCTGAATACAGACACTCAGCCCCTCCAGGAGCAGCTTGTCGGCTGACGGCAGTTCTCTAAGATGGAGCAGCTGATGGTGGCACAGGGACAGCTCCTAGCCTTGCCCTCTGGCCCTGCGGGCGTGGAGGCGCTCCAGGACTGATGACCTCCAGCTCTTCCTTCCTCCCCCTGGCAGTGGTTCTGGGGTCGTCTTGACAGAGCACCAGGAACTCGGTGGAATGTGTGGAACCAGCTGGGGACTTCAGACAGAATTGGTACAGCTGGGGATGAGTGACAGAGGCGAAATCTTTACCCAAAAATCTAAAGATTGACTCCTTTAAGAGGAAATGCCTCTGAAGTGAAAATATCATTTCACCACGAACTCGGTGTCAAGTGTCATATCCCTGGGCCATCTCCCGTAATCTAGAAGCAGGAAGGGCAGCCCACGTGCATATCTTCTGTCCCAGGATGGCAAGCATCATTCTGAGGCCGTGACACACAACCACACACTGCCCAATGCAGAGAACGCTAACATTACCTCTCATGACTCCATTGAACTATTACAACTTTCAGAGAAAAACCTCACTAAGAGAGACTAAAGTCACTATGATCTATTCATCATTCAGGCTTGTAGAGATTGAGTCGTAGATCCAAGGCTGAATCCAAGTTTTGATACAGTCTGATTCCTGGTACTTCCTGCCATGCTGAACACCCGTCACAGACGGGAAAATAACCTATTTTTGGGAAAATTGTGATTTACCTTGATTACTCATTTCCTCCCCATGAGAGCCAGTCCCATCCCACACCCCACCACAAAGATGAGAGACACGAATGCTGATTTCAGAAGGTTGATGATAAAGAACTGGACACCTCGGTCGTATCAAATCCAGGCACTCAAGTTAAATGCTGAAGTTGCATATAACAGCGCATAAGTTTATATTTTATGAAACATTTTCCCTACAGTTTCTTGGATCTATTTGTGGTTGACTTCAAAGTGACAAAAAAGCAAATCTCCATTTCCACAAAGTAATCTCTTCCATCTGCCAAGGCAACGATATTGTGATGAGGCGTCAGCACCTGAACTGTGGCTTCGTCCTGATATTTCCAACCAAGCATAGAGAGCTGCCCGCCCCCTCAAAAATGTTCCCTCCATTCCTTCCTCACCTGTGCTCCCTGGCCACATCCCCCACCACCTATACCTGTCACAGCTGCTTGCTTGTGAACTTGTCCTGTTCTCAAACACAGGGTCCTCATGTGTACCCTGAGCCTTGTCCAGGGAAACCAAGTAAGTGGTTGGAAATCCAACTGCACTGGTTCTCTTTCCACATCGTGGGGGCTAAGGGCCTATGGAACGGACTCGTATTAGCTCCCCGAAAACCGAAAACCCACTGGATTCTTCTGGAAAGCTTGTGGAAACATTCGTTCCTTCCCTTAAAGGAAAATGAAGCAAATAAACTTCCTTTATAGTGTATTACATTCAAAGAGAACATACTTTCAAAAAAAGTAACGTTACATCTTGGCCATGGTTATAGATATGGGAGACCGTGCTTTACAAAACTTGGTGGTACATGGTGACTTTTCAGAACATTCCTTTCCGCACAAACATACGGGTAGCATTGTGTGAGGTTTTTCTGTTTTGCTTTGTTTGTTCTGCACTTCCCTCTTCTTAGAATTTGCATGGCATATAAAAGTTACCACATAATTGAAGCTTTAAGCATATTCAGGAAAACCTTGGCTTCCTGAAACCTTTGGGGGAACTCAACTCCCACATACAGATGATGCTTCCTGGTGCCTGGTCCTTACACTCACCTTTTGAGTGTCCACTGACCACATGCAGCAAACGCTTCATGCCTGGGGCACACCCCCGCCTCAGTGGGGCTAGCTGGCTGGAGAGCTCCAAAAGGACACGGGCCAGCCCCCCAACTCACCTGCAGAGCTCGGCACTCAATCAGACTTTAAAGGGTCTTCCCAGCACGCTACTTCTGGGCCTTTTACCTGCACCTCCTCTTCAAAAGCCACGCCCAAGAGTCATGTGGCATCCAGTTTCGGACTGCAGTCCTCCCTTCGCCCCCCCCCCCCCCCCCCCCCCCCCCGCCTCCTGGGTGACAGTGTCTGTTCAGGGCATACATACAATGTGACCTGCGACCACGTCGTATCTGCAGATGCACCAGCTTTCACTGGTGGCGGCGCCACGTTAACTTTTGTATAATCCAGTCACTCGTGTTTTCAAAACCAGTCCCTGGCTCCCTGTGGCCTGGTGTCACTTCCAAGTTCCTTAGCTCTGAACGACTGGCTCAACTTGCTCCAGCTTCATCCCCTGCCAAGCCTTGTCTTTTTATTTATTTTTTTTTCCTGTTGTTGCTCTAGCAATACCAAGTTTGTTCACGGGCCCCCCAGACAAACCAGAAAGCTTCTCACTTCTGTCTCTGCTCAACTCAGCTGTCCCTGCTTGAAACATCCCTCCCTCCAGGATCCTCTCTGCAAACTCTTCAGCATTTTGAACATTCTGCTCTTTGTCTTCCTTCCACCTCCTCCTATGCCCAGTACAGATCCAGCCACTCTCGTGCTATTCCCTTGATGTGCATCACACTGTATCATGCGGT